TTTCTTTTCCTCAAGGAAGAGCCAGCAGTGGGAAATAGAACTGCCTCCCTTCCCACGTAGCAATTATGTGCACAATTACATTTCCAGCAGGTGTCACTTAAGAGGGTGAAGCCCATTAAGCGTTCAAATGAAGAAGCAGAAAGGAGCCTGTGAGGAGGCGAGGAAAGCTGCCGAGGGGACAAAGTAAATGTTGACTTTCCTGAGCAGTCACCGCCCGGCACCCCAGCACTCTTTCCCATAAGTGATCTCATCACAGCCTGGGGACAGCCCCGGTGCAGAGGTTAACAGGTCCTGTTTGAACAAGTGAGGGACCTGAGCTCGGAGCCCTGCAGTGCATTGCCCGAGGTCACTTGTCCAGAAGGATGAGTCCTCGGGGCAGGAGGTGCACATGCCCACACAGGGAATGGCGTGTGTGTAGCCCCCAATTTTCTGTAAACCAGGAGAGGGCCCAACCCTCTGTTAGACTCCGCTGTAGCTTTCCTGCTGCCCAGCGTAAAGCATATGCCCAGCAAGTACCTGAAAAGTGAAAGTCACTTCCACCAGGCTCCTCTGTCCATGGAATTCTCCAGGCAAGAATACTGGAGTGGGTAGCCATTCCCTTCTCCAGGGGATATTCCCCACCCAGGAATCGAACCCAGGTCTCCTGTATTGCAGGCAGATTCCTTACCATCTAAGCCACTAGGGAAGCCCAGTAGATACTTAATGGGCTTCTTTATGGCAGTTTTATTCCCTTTGCTCTAATGATGAATGCCATTCCCAGAGGGAGAGAAGATCAAAGGGAGAAAGTGCCAGGCATATGTAGACTTATTTAAATAGACTTTTACAATTGAAAATGGGAATTGTCAATCTCTTTTATAGATGAGGAATCTGAGGCTAAGAGCAGTGAAAAGAATTGTCCAAGGCTGCTTGGCTAATTAGTATATAGCATTGGAATCCAGGTCTGTCTGACTCCAGAGTCTGAGTTCTTGTACCCATTGAATGTCCTTGCATGGAGTCCATCACATGGCAGAGGTGACCACATGCTCCCCCTTGATCTCAGGGCTGCCATGCTCCTCTCTGCAGCCATATTGGAAGAGCCCCTTTCTCTCTGCTCATTGGAAGGTCCCCAGATGCTGTGCTGAGTCAGAAGAGCCTTCTGTTTGTTCTGATCATCTAAACCCTGTCTTTGGGCCATCTTAATCAAGGCCTGCCCAGTGAAAGTTCATTAAGGCCACCAGAGGCAGGGAAGAATATTTATTGAAGCTCTGCCAGTCCATATGCCTCCTTCCTTGCTGATAAAGCCAGGCTCACCATCTCCTTTCCCAGTTTACCACCCGCTGTGCCCAATATGCATTGTTACCACTGGGTCCCTATTTTGCCTGAATGCATCACACTCTGCTCCATTGGAGGTAGAGATCAGCCTCCCTGCACCATCTCTGTCAACCCTGCCTCTCCATGAGCTTACCAGGTTCTGTTGTGTCGCTCTAGCAAAATCTCTTGAGTCCTCTGCATTCTTCCCATCTCCTGGCCTCTGCCATCATCTAGAATACTGCACCATTCACCCGGCTGGGCTTTTTCACATCTCTTTCCACCACCACCACCACCCCCATCTTCCATACAAGTGAGCTTTGTTAAAACATTTTATCCATCCACAGCCTTCCAACCTTCCATCCATCCAATGGCTATTTGTGGGATATGAGTATTTGCTGTGCGTCAGGGTTTCTGCTAGACTCAGGATGTAAATTAGATAAGAAGTGGTCTGGTCTCTAGTGATGGAGAGTGAGAAATTAACAAATTCCAATGCAGGTGAAGGGACCCCAAAGGACTGATGTCTGAATCAGGTCACATCTTCAGCAGAGGTTTCTGGCAGAACTGACAGGGGATCAGAATATTTAAGGTGAGAGTGGAGCAAAAAGAGACTGTCCAGGCAGAGCCACTATGCCCTTACAAAGATTTGACACTGCCTTGTACCTTTGGGAAACCACGAGTGCCTGGTGAGGGTAGAGACCAGTGGTCGCTGTATCATGAAGTGCCTTGTTCAATGAGTCTGAAATTTCCTCGTGGATGGTTTTCAGGAAAGGAGCAGAGAGTGCTCAGCCACCCACTCTCCACGCCTCACTTGGGCATCCTGGGGAGTTTTTTGTCCAGGCTCCGACCTCTGACTTCATCACTGAATACGCTCCTCTTCTGGCTGGCTGGGGTTCTGCCTGAAGGACAACTGTGGTCTCCCAGACACTGCTTATCCGTAAGAGTTTTGAACCTCACTCACAGAAATTCCTTTTCATTCTCTCTCTGTTCCAGACACGTGCCTTGAATGTGCAGTTTCCTGGGCCTGTGGCTGTTGAGTGTGTGGAGAGCGAGTTGTTTGTGGATGTGCTCAGTCACTCCTGCTTCACCACATCTGCCCGTCACTCCAGAGTGTTTAGTAGGAGCAGATAATACACAGGCCAGCTGCCACCTCCTGCTTTTCTAATTATCTATCAGAGAAAGGGAAAACCCACTCACTGTCCCTGAATGCAGATGGGGTCCACAAGCACATCTTCACTTTAGGGACAAGTAAGAGGAAGGGCTTCCCTGCAGGAGGGCATGGCAACCCAGTCCTGGATTCCTGCCTGGAGAATCCCCATGGACAGAGGAGCCTGGCGGGCTACAGTCCATGCGATCACAGAGCCGGACACGACTGAGCGACTGAGCACAACTCAAGAGGAAGGGCTTAGGGAGGGGACCAACCCAGGGTTCAGGGCTCTGCACCTGAGACCCTGCCCCCACTTACAGCCCTGATTCCACCTCGCCCTCTCTCCTAACCTCCCACCAACCTCTGTGCCACCCAAGGTGGATCCCCTCATCAGCCTGCCTTCCATGCCCCTTACACTTTCCTGCTTCTACAGGAAGCAGGAAGAAATGGGTTGGAGGCTTTGGCTATAGGACTTTGGGTGAGTCGAGGGTGGGTTTCCACACTTAAGTTCAGGGCTAATGGCCCCTGCCAGCCAATTTCAGAGCCCAGTGAATGAAAAGCATTCGTGTATGTGAATGCATTTTATAATTGTCACAACTGCCCTGGGAAGAGTTTTCATTTTTATTGCACAGATAAGGAAATGGAACATTCAGAGATGTCAAATAACTTGCCCCAGGTCACACAGCTAGAAAGTGGACTGTGGCTGGTCTGTTGTTGTTTAGTCACTAAGTCATGTCCAACTCTTTTGTGACCCTAGGGACTGGAGCCCTCCAGGCTCTGCCCATGGGATTTTCCCAGCAAGAATACTGGAGTGGGTTGCCATTTCTTTCTTCGGGGGATCTTCTTGACCCAGGGATTGAACCCACGTCTCCTGCACTGGCAGGCGAATTCTTTACCACTCAGTCACCTGGGAAGCTCCAGCTGGTATATAGTAGGTGCTAAATAAATACACTTAAATAACTGGCTTCAAAGAATTATGAGGGGGGAAAACAAGTTACTAATTTAGGTATAATGGCATTTTACTTTTGGCTCTAATTTGTATTTCTTTGATTACTAGAGTAACTGAATATTTTTTCCATGCATGTATTCACTTAACATACTTCATGTAGAACACTCTCACATCTGTTTCCAATCTATTTATTGGTGTCCTTAAATTTGTTCCCACATCAGTTTGGGAACTTTTTTGAATGGACATTAGCCCTCTTCTGTCCTTTATGCTACAGATATTTTTCCAGCTTGATGTCCTTTTCACTTTACTTTCTTTCCTTTTCCTTGTGTAAAATTGTAAAGTAAAATTAATTTCCATTCATGTTAACTTGTATAGTCAGCAGTTAAAACCCCAGCCAAGGTGGGAAAGCAGGTTTCCCCAAGCAGCACATACCGCTTCCCCACGCCAGTGGGTCCAGTGAGTTGAAAGGAACATCAAAGGAAGACTCAGAAATTCAGCCCTAAGCCCAAGACCCCTTGATAAGCAGCCAGAGGACAAATCTTTTGTACCGTAAACATATTATTGCCTTATGTGTATGTTTTACTGTAAACATGATTTTGATCTGAGTCAAAAGGTCCAACCACTTGTTTAACCTCATATTCCCCTCCCCCCCACTTGCTGCCTATCAGCATTATAGATTGAGGGGTGGGGCAAGGGCTTCTGCAGAGTCAGGGGCTCCAAAAACTTGACCCTTGGGGCTAGTTGTTAGTGATGTCAGCAAAAGTGATGTAGATTGGGTTTGACAGATTGTAAAGTGCTTTCCTACCTGTTTTTCAATTGATCCTCACAACAGCCTCTAGTAGTAGTGTGTGTGTGTGTGCGTTCATGTGTGCTCAGTCGATTCATTTGTGGTCAACTCTTTGAAACCCTATGGACTGTAGTCCACCAGACTCCTCTGTCCATGGGATTCTCCAGGCAAGACTCCTGGAGTGGGTTGCCATGCTCTTCTCCAGGGGATCTTCCCAATCCAGGGATCGGACCTGGGTCTCCCACACTGCAGGCAGATTCTTTACCGTCTAAGTCACCTGGGAAGCCCAGTAAGTGGTGTAGGTAATAGTATTATTCCCAGGAACTGCTGAGGGAATAGGGACTCAGGGAGGTTGTCCATATCCCCATGCTAATCACCAGCAGAGACTAGAGCCTTCTCCTTAGGCGTCAGGGCTCCTGTGGTTTCCGCTTTGCAGAGTGAGCTCCTGGGGGTGGTCCCCACCATACAGTAATGGAGTAGGGTGATGTTCCAGGCCAGCAATCCAGCTCTGGAAACAGAAGGGCCTTATCCCTGCTTAGAAGCTCTTAGATTGTAAATTTCTGGAGATCTTTCATAATACACTGACTGTCCCTTCTAGCCACATGGAGATGGTACTTCAGAGAGCGTGAGGGAGGTTCTGAAAGAAGGAACAGCAGCTAATGATAAGCAGGGTGTCCTGAAGTGGTCCGCAAGTCATGGCTAAAACACAAGGCTTCCCTTGTGAAGTAGGATCTGGTAATTCCCCTGGAAGTTCATAGCCACCGAAAGAGACAGCAACATCCCCAGACAACTATAGAAAGTGCCTGCAATGTTCTAGCAATATCATTCACTCATCCAGAAAATACTAATTGAGCACCTACTATGTGCCAAGCACTGTCCAATAGCAGTAAATACAACAGACCAACATCACGAGTCTTATATTCTGGCAGGGGAGACAAAGAGTGAATAATAACCATAGAGCATGTCTGATGCTGAAGAGTACTATGGAAAGAAATAGGGAAGGGGGTGTCACATGTCTGAGCAGGGTGATCAAGAATGCGCAGGAATGCACAGAGTAGCCCAGAGAAGAAGACCTTGAATTCTGTTTGGAGTGCGATCAGAGAGGATGCTTTTTCTGTGTGCTTAGTCCTGACTTCTAAGTGAGGGTTTCCTAGCAGCCAAGGGGAGGGATGCGTTTTTGGCAGAGGAAGCAGCAAATGCATAGGCATGAAGCTGTGAAGGTATGGACACGTTTGCGAAATTTGTAAGCACGTCTGGTATGGCTAGAGAAAAAAGAGAAGGAAAATGCAAGACTCGATGCTGGAGAGGTCGGTTGTGGGCAGACTGGGAGGGCTCTGTGGTGTATGCTATGACTCTGTAGACGCTGGGGTGACTCCAAGGCATGTCTGCCGTGGATGCCTTCCTGAGCTAGTGATCAGGGGTCCCAGCCAGACTGGAGGCATGGCCTTCATAATCAAGAAAGTTAAAAAACAAAGGGGACATTTCTTCCCAATGGCCCATAACCTGAGTCTTATCAGACAAATCCCCGTAGTGGGGCATCCAAAAAATACTTTTCCAGTACTCCCCAAAGTGTCAAAGTCATCATAAACAAGGAAAGTTTGAGAAAGCATCATAGCCAAGAAGCACCTGAGAACACATGATGACTTGTTTCAGGATCCCATATGGTGTTCTGCATGGGATCCTAAAACAAAAAAGACATTAGGGAAATGCTAAGGAAATTTGAACAAACTATAGATTTCGGTTAATAATAGGGGCTTCCCTGGTGGCTCAGATGGTAAAGAATCTGCCTGCAATGCAGGAGGTCCTTTGGAGAAGGGAATGGCTACCTACTCCAGTATTCTTGCCTAGAGAGTTCTATCAACAAAGGACCCTGACAGGCTATATTCTATAGGGTCGAAAAGACATGACTGAGTGACTAACCATCAGTTAATAATAATGTATCAATATTGGCTCATTCAGTTCTGTTCAGTCGCTCAGTTGTGTCCGACTCTTTGCGACCCCATGAACCGCAGCACACCAGGCCTCCCTGTCCATCACCAACTCCCAGAGTCTACCCAAACCCATGTCCATTGAGTCGGTGATGCCATCCAACCATCTCATCCTCTGTTGTCCCCTTCTCCTCCTGCCCTCAATCTTTCCCAGCATCAGTGTCTTTTCCAATGAGTCAACTCTTCGCATGAGGTAGCCAAAGTATTGGAGTTTTAGCTTCAGCATCAGTCCTTCCAATGAACACCTAGGACCGATCTCCTTTAGGATGGACTGGTTGGATCTCCTTGCAGTCCAAGGGACTCTCAAGAGTCTTCTCCAACACCACAGTTCAAAAGCATCAATTCTTCGGCACTCAGCTTTCTTTATAGTCCAACTCTCACATCCATACATGACCATTATGTATGGCTCATTACCTGTGACCAAAAAACATACTATAAGATGTTAGTCATGGGGAAAATAGAGGCAGGGTATGTGGGAACTCTCTGCACTATGTTTGCAATTTTCCTGTAACCCAAAACTCTTCTAAAATATATTTTATTTTATTAAAAAAAATAGACATGATAACATGGAAACAATTAAAGTGGGAAAACCTTCGTAACCCCCAGATGTACTTGAGTTTCCTTATCTCTGGAAGGACTGGATCTTTTCCAATTCAGTTTCCCCCCGACAAATGTTTTCAGCTTCACCAACATGGAAACAAGTAGGTGTGTCTGTGTAGGTGGGCCCATAAGGTTGGGGACGCTGGGGATGCTGAGGTTGAGACCACCTCTGTACTGAAGTCCCAATATTGCTTTTTCCCCTCTAGGACCAATAGAGGTTTCCAGGGAGGTGAGGCATGTGGCAGTTCATTAACAATCCTGCTGTCCCACATCTGGTGGTCCTTTCAGTTCCTGTGTGGGACGTTGGTCTGGGACACTTGGATCAGTCAATAAAAGGCCACCTGTGGCAAAGGGCCTGAGCAAAAGCAGAAAGCAAATCCATCAGGGACCAGAGCCCCTGATCCAACTGTGGGAAGGTGACCTCTACTAGGAAACTAGCCTGCCAGTAAGGGGCTGGCTCATGTGGAGTGCTTGCAAAGCAAACCCATTGTCCCTCTATTTCTGGTGCACCTTTCTCCATTGTCTCCTTATCTGTCTGTGCCTACGTCTGACTGTGTACGTATAATTACAGTCAGTTCAGTTCAGTCGCTCAGTTGTGTCTGACTCTTTGTGACCCCATGGACTACAGAACACCAGGCCTCCCTGTCCATCACCAACTCCCAGAGCTTGCTCAAACTCATGTCCATCGAGTCAGCAATGCCATCCAACCATCTCATATGTATACTTTTCTCACATCTAAATTCTTCTTTAGTAACAAAGAATGCTCTGTCTCTCAGCAGTCCCAAAAATATTCTGTTTTATTTCTCTCCCCATCCTCTCTCAATAAAGCATGGCTTCTGCCCTCTGAGTTTGGAAGGACCAGTGATAACCTTTAACAGTTGTAGATGTCAGTAGAAACAAGATCCAGCTACATCACCTTAAGTCTCAAACATCTTATTGCATCTGCTAAGAGATGTCTTTCTTGGTCTGTCTCAGTTTTGTTTAACTCCTATCTTCCCTACAGAGATGCTGGGCACCCTAACCTTCCAAATGATTCTGAAGCTTCACAACTAAACTCCTTGGCATCCTTTGCATCAGTAATTGGCTTTTCTCATATTAGCTTACCAATTGATAAAGGAAGTCACATTAAACCTGGCTAAATTCATGGGGGAAAAAACCCCAGAGATCTGACTACCCTTCTTCTTCTAGGTGTGTAACAGGTCCCTTACCAATGACTCATTCCCTGCCGGGGTTGACTACATGCTCAGTTCTGCAGCAGCTCCCTGTCCCAGCCCGAGCAGTGAGAGTCTTCAGGCATTCATTGTCCCCAAGGCTGCAGAGGGGCGCTTCTACCTGCAGATTCTTACTTGACCCATCAGAGTCTAGGCAGGGAAATGCAGACCAACATAGATCTTTCAGCAGAGGGAATTTAATACAGGAAACTGGCTGCACAGTTAATGAAGCAACTGAGAAGATAAACAGTACAAATTGAGTCCGTCCAGAAATCAGCAACAACAAGCAACTACTATTGCTCCTAGACCTGGAGGGGCAATGAGAACAGGTGATGTTTCTAGAGTCCAAAAGCTGAGACAATCAGCAGGAGATAGAATCACTGTACAGAGTGCCTGTCAGGACCTGAAGCAACGATGGTATGTGGCCACTGCCAAGGATACTGTCTGAGATGAACAAGAGAAGGAAAGAGACCCTCGCTTCTTCTCTCTTCTTCTCACCTCCAGTCTTCTGGCTGTGGTCCTCCATTCACAAGCCCACCTGCCCAGAAGCCAGAGAGCAAAGGATTCTGAGCATTGTGGTTCTCCACGAGATGGAGCAGAGTAAGTGTAGGGAAGGGGCCTGAGAGCAAATGCACAGCCTCCACCCTCCGCATGCTCTTTGCTCAAGGCTGTGTTGGCCTTCATCCCTTCCAGATAGCTGCTTTTTGCTAATTTCTCTCACGAAGACTGCTGGCAACTTGATACAGGCATCATATTTTTGTATGCTCTCCTGGATTGAACAGATGAGGGGAGAGGAAAAAAACAGAATCCTCCATTATTTTGGGGTGGGAGCGCTGAGCTCCATAATATCTGTCGTCATCAAATCTTGCTCATGTGGATAATTGCTGTCCCCAGTCCTTTAGAGGAGAGCAGTGTCTCTTTTTTTTTTTGTGGGATCGTCAAGGTAGACTGGCTCTGCTTATTCTTACAATGGAGCCTGGAGGCTCAAGGACAGCTTGAACAATTATCTTCTATTCTACAAGACCAAACTCACAGGCCAGACCCCTGCTATGCAGCCACATTCTGCCCTGGAGGGCCTGTGTGCACTGGTAATTCCAGAGGGTGGGTGAGCTGCTTCAGGGGACCTCAGCTCTTGTCTGTGTGGTGAATCCTTTCCAGGCTGCCTTCCCGGACCGTCTTTCTCCTCTGCTACCTTGGAGCCCTCGCTGCTGACGTAGGAGCACACGCAGAGGGGAATGTGGACAGGAAGTGTCCAAGAGCAGAGCACAAGAAACAAAAGGCCCTAAGTTTGTGCAGCCAAGAAAATAACATGAAACAAGATGAGGGATTCGGGCTGGACTTGTTTTGTTTTGGAGCGTTTCAAGGGGCCAGGCACGCAGTTGTGTTTGGATTGGGAAGAAAGGGATAACTGTGCAGAAGAAAATCCGTTTCAGATTTTAGTCTGGCCATTACTGGATTACAGAAAACACCAAGAGGATTAAACTGTGTGAACATATGAAAGCAGTTGTACCCAGACAGGAGGGGAACTTGTCTCCTCCTGGGACATGTTTGGACAGTGTTTGGAAGCCGTGGCTTGCTTGTCCATCCATCACCGATCTGGCATCACTGGGAGCCGTCTGCATTGTTTTCCTTTTCCTAGCATTAATGATAACTATTAAATATGAATAACAGCTGGTTAGGACTCTTGATTCAAAGTGACAGAAACCTCAGAACTCACTCAAAACGGAGGGGCTTTTACTACTACCTCATCAAATCCAAGGAGTTGAACTTGTAGCCAGAGACAACACGGAGATGCAGTAGAATCGGGTTCACAGTTTTAATTCTGTTAAGATTTGTTCTGTTTCTTTTTGCTACTCTGGTCATTTCTCTTACTTCTGAGATTCTTTCTCTCCCTGCAAACCTTAGCTCTCTCTATTTTTTCCATGTTAGTTTGCAGGGTTCTCATAAAAAAGCACACCAACTGAGACGCTAATGCAACAGAAATGCCATGTCTCACAGTTCTGGAGGCTAAAAGTCCCAAATCAAGGGGTCAGAAGGACCGGGTTCTCTCTGAAGGGAAGGCTCTCCCCAGGCCTCTGTCACTGCCACTGGTAGTTCTTGGCTTGTGGTAGCATAATTCCCATCTTCTCTGTGTCCAAATCTCCACACCACCCCCCTTTTTTAGGACACAAACCACATCGGATGAGAGCCCACCCCAGTGACCTCATTTTAACTTGATTACCTCTGCCAAGAGACTATCTCCAAGTAAATTTCATTCTCAGGCACGAGGGATTAGGACACCAACATACCTTTTGTGGAGGACATAATTCAGCCCATAACACTCACATGGCCACTTATTAGTGGCTATTGCTAGTGAATTTTTAAAGTTATTAATTTTTATTTTGGCTGCACTGGGTCTTCATTGGGTCA